GATCCGTTTGACACAGAAATGCTTCAACGCAGGGTTACCCTTGATATTGATGAAAAATCGGGAAGCAGGCCTCCCGATGAGTGCCGCGTACCTTATACTACCCCCACCGACTTCTCAGTGATCGTTTTTCTAGCTTTCTGGAATTCTGGCATCATGTGACATACTCGATTTGTCGGATCCACCCAGAAATTTCTCAACTGGCGTCAAATTGAATTTGTAATTCAAATTGTATATAGTTGTGTTGAAACGGCAAATTTTGAAAACCATCGCTTTTTACTCTTTTCAAGTGAGGACCTCTTTCCGTTGCGCAGCTAAACCCCGTAACAAAGGCGAATACCACCCTAGATTCCAGAATTCACAAGCAACACCCTCTCCCCCCACTCGTTGTATGTTTCCAAAGGGAGGTTCACATGCCACAGTGGTATTCTGCGATTTGGTCATTTGAACCCATTGGACTAAAAAAAGCAATCACGCGGGGAGACCAGTACAACTTCCCTTCAGCGAAAGTTTCTTCTCAGCTTTTCTTATTGTTTAGCCGCATTTTTCACGTCTTCGTTGGCGATCTCATCCAGAAATTGACAATAGATCACTAAAAGAAGCATTTGCTGTACATGGTGAAGTAAGGTGCGTTAGTTTGTTACGTTTGCAACGACTACATAGTTCTATATTATTATTACTTACTAACCTCATATTAAGCGTTTGTTAGAAGAAAAAATGAGTAGTACTTCATTTTATGAGAAACCGTCACTGTCACCATTTTATGGCAGAATGTTTATGAAATTCTCTTCAAAGTTTTCTTAAAAATTCCTTAAAGTTAGAGATGCAAACGCTGTTTACCGGTTTCCCTCGGGTTTTCCGGCTAAGTAAGGGCATGAACAATGATTCCCGGTCTTCGGATTCCGAGAGATTCTGGCATTCCCAGTTTCATTTCTTAAAATATTTTCAACGTATTTGAAAGAAATGGAAAACCAAGAGTTTGGGAGATGTCTTTTATTCGGGCTGCGCATAGCGCGCGACAACGGAAGAGTAATGCACTTTTATGACAAGAAACGGTGCCAAAATCTCTTTATCGAAAGGTGGCTGTAAAAGTTTCTGAGCAGACGCTCAGCGGTGTCCGTTGAGGCGACGAGTTTTGAAGAAGATTCAATTCCCGAGCCACCGCTCGGAAGAATCTAATGCATTTCTCATAGATCGGCTCATCTTTCATCAGGAAAGAAAAAAAGATGGATAGAGCTCCTCTTTAGCCCCATGTCCTGCCGCATCATTGGAGAAATCGCCAAGCTCTACGCAATTCGGCGAAAGCCCAGCGCGATTAAACGATTTGACGTCTAGAATATTTTTAGACGACTTATTCTTTCAAAAATATACAAAGGGTTTTCCCTCTGTCATAATCTGAAAGCGGAAAAGTGATAATAATAAACAGTTTTATAAAGATCGAAAGAAATGCAACGGAAAAACGTCGAGTAATCAAGGGAAGTGTGGTTTTCGAAGTGCTTTCTATTTAAATGGTGAGAAAAAAGTTCCCATGCTTTCAAATCAACAATTTCTATTGACACATGAATTAGATTTACGTACCTCATATTAATTACACACTAGAGCCTTTTTCGAATACATAATTTAAAGCGAATTTCAGGGAGAATTGGGAGTAGCGTAATCATGAGGACTTGCGTTTATATTATGCATGGCGGAGTGGTGTAGTAGCAAGTATTTCTGATTACCGCGATCGCGATCTAGAGATGCAACTCTCTTCTTTAATTGAGGCCCGGTACCCACTCATGCCCCGGTGCCTACTGATTTGGTACCAGACTTGTCTGGCAGGATAAAAACGCTGAAATGTTCTGGCCAAATATATTTCAGCGGTAAGCTTTTTTTCTTAGGTCCGATGAGTTCAAATTTTGTGTTTTATCGAACGTGGGCCTTTCTCACTGAACTAGCATATTCCTCTTGAAATGAAGCAAAATTATGGTCAAAATATTTTATTAGCATTTCACAAGTATGGCCAGATTGTTAATAAATTTCAAATTATCGTAAGAAGCTGCGCAAGTTGATAAAACGATAGCACAGTAAGTAGCACTGAGCAGATTCAGTGCCTTGTTGATAATCTACTAGAGTCGCTGAAACCTCAACAGGGCCTTTGTTTGGATTTGGTAAATGACACACTTTTTACTGGGGTAACTTCTTCGATTTTCCAAATTAGATGGGTTTCGCAAGTATTGCTGGCTGTTCCACAACAGTGCTGAGTTGTGAACAAAACTATCGCCCCAGACGGGACTCGAGCCCGCACCTCTTACTTACCTAGCAGGTGGCTTCAAAACACGCTAGAGTGGCACCATTTCATCCCCCGACTCAGCTCCTCATATATAGTACGTATCGTAGCCTGTCAGCACTGACACGTTTAACGTGTTGAGCCGGTTAGCCGACATCGGCAGTGTACCGCAAGGCTGAAAGCTTTAGCAGTTGATTTTGACTTGTTTCAACCCGCATCCTTGTAAAAGCTTTGTGGTGCAACCGTGGCTAAAAACAGCACTTAACAATCTAAAACCAGTCAGAATCTGGCTTAAGGTATTCACGGCTTTTCATATAGTTTCGCGATGAAGCTAGGATGCAACAGAATCTGGCCCTCTTCAAAAGGCACACCCGTGCTGCGGAAAGCACTAGTTGCAACAGCGTAGATTGCTCCCATAGCTTTGAGGCGAAAATTAGTAGCGGAAGCCACGCAGAGCTTCGCGACTTCATCTGACTCGCTACAGTATAATTCAAATAGTGTTGGCTAGCGATGTTAGGCGTGAATGCGTTCTGATGTATAATAAAATGTGTTGATCCAAAGTATCAACTGCCATCTATGAAACAAGACTCGGGTACGGTAGTTCATAAAAGGGGTGCGATCATAGCATAGGATTCAAGAAGCGATGCATGCGGACGGATACGGTTAGATTTTGAAGGTGCTTAATATCTAAGATAAGGCAGCTTCACTGGATACTAACTTGGTCTCTTAGCAACAGACCCGTTCTACCCTCATCCCACCACTACCAAGCAAGTGTGGTTTTGAGAGCATTGCGTGCTTCTAATTGTAAAGGCGAGCTGATTCAGAAATCTATGTCTACAGCTTGTTTTGTTTGTTAACTGCTGTTTTAACGCCGCAGTTCGCGTTGCGAATGTTTCACAAGAATGCTGGGTTGTGAACAAAACTTTCGCCCCAGGCGGGACTAGAACCCGCACCTCTCGCTTTCCGGGCAAGTGCGCTACCCATTTCCAACTCGGCTTTTCATGGTATACGTACCATAGCTGTTCACAACCCAGCATTCTTGTGAAACATTCGCAACGCGAACTGCGGCGTTAAAACAGCAGTTAACAAACAAAACAAGTCAAAATTCATTGCTAAAGCTTTCAGCCTCGCGGTCATTGCCGATATCGGCTAACCGGCTCAACACGTTAGACGTGTGAGTGCTGAAAGCTATGGTACGTATACCATGAAAAGCTGAGTTGGAATGAAATGGTGCCCGGTAGCGTAACTGGTAGCGCACTTGCCCGGAAAGCGAGAGGTGCGGGTTCTAGTCCCGCCTGGGGCGAAAGTTTTGTTCACAACCCAGCATTCTTGTGAAACAATGTCTACAGCGTTATAGACACCATGAGAAAGGGTGAGGAAATCTTCGGCGGCAGAAGGGACCAGAAGCTTCCAGGAGAAACTAGCCAAATTTGAAAAAAAAATGACGGAAGTCGCCCTAGTGGACAGTCAAATTATATTCAAACGATCCATGTTAGTCATGTGGAGCTTTCAGGTGCTCTAGAATGTTATCTACAAAGCATTACCTTTACTTATTGCTACTCGTCGTGCGGCCCATTGTTTCGATGGATTGTAAAGTTTTTAGGTGAAACTCCAGTTCGGGGGGGCCACTCCATTGCTATCTTATCCGTAGTACTAGAGAGCAGTTCTTTGGGCTATCGAACACTACGGATAAGATAATAAGTGAACGACTCATTTCGAGCGTACTTTTGATAAGGACCGGTGGATGTCCTACATTCCACACTACCTGCCCACATCCCATCCACTTTTCTGCACAGGTGATCCACCCTGGAGCTCCTGCACCCTTAGCCCTTTGCGGAGGTGTCCTTTCTCCTGGTCCAGGACCGTTCCCTTGGGTCATGGCAGGCGGAAATGTGAAAACGTTTCAGGGTTTCTCACCCATTACACCAATATTTATCAGAAGTCTACTTTAAATGAGTCGATTACGTGTCGTGAGCCCTCTAATCCTTATCTTGAGTATTGGAGAAAAAATGGAGTGGCCCCCCCGAACTGGAGTTTCACCCAGTTTTTACTAATTACATTTTAAATTCCGCATTCGGGGGACCCCTTTTTCCAAACTATTATTTTTAAGAATATTTGCAAGTGTTGAGGAAGACGTCAACAGTAGAGGTCAAGAGGCAGCGGAAGCCGCAAAGAGTAAGCAAAAGCCGTAGCGCATAATTTCATAAAAAGGATGAGCGATAAGTCAAGCTTGAAGCGACCACCAGCAATTTCATCAACAATTACCTACAATAGCCGGTCATGGTCTCGTTCGCTACCGCCGGAGCTATTAGAACTTACCGAGTACCCAAATGTCCCGATAGCTTTTATAGAACCCTCGCAAAAAAGGCGAGGATCATCTTTAAGCAAAAGGTGTTTGGTTGGAATGATTTTGGAGCCCCACTACTCATCAAACACCACCTCCTTCTCTTCCTTATCACGATTTGTCCCGGACCCTCCTCGTCCCATTGATAATTGAAAATTATCAGCCATGCATCTGTAAAACAGAAACAAAAGAACCTTCCTAAGAAGCACCTTATTCAGTTGTGCGTTTCTTTTTGAATTTTCATTTTTGAATAAACGCATTGTTAGGAATGTTAAGGTGTCCGAAATCGGACACCGCAAAATGTGGGAGGAGCTGTCCGGTAGGCGGCGTTGTCTGTTTTGCGTTTTAATTGATTTTCAAAGAGATCTTTTTTCTGTACCTAATATCATATACATGTAGCTGCATCTGTCCAATATCATGTAGCCTGTGACCTCGTCATTTCTGGCTTGAGGAGCCTGCTCATGCGTTATCGTCAACCATTTCGCCTATACAGCATTGCTCCACACGCCCTGCAAATTCTGCTCGTTGTTCTGCTTGGCTCTTCATTTGTGTTTCTTCATTTCCCACGTACGTGTTATGCCATCCATCAACGGCTATTGATGTTTTATGAATTGACAACCAGATGGAAGCCGACATATTCTATGTGCATGTCTAGATCATGTAAGCAAAAAATGAATGGAAAACGGCAAATAAATGTGACAGGCTTTCAAATTCCTTCGGTGTGGAAATCGGCTGGTGACAGCGTTTTGACGTTTGCGGTGGAAAAAAGCGTCACTAAGCAATAATCTCTGATTGTATCGCCCTTGAAGATTCGATATTGCAGTGGATTATTTTGGTGTTTTTTTTCAGCGATTTGAAGATGGCTAGCAGCTTTCGATTTCGAAGCTAGCCTGTCAAACCCCTTTGCCCTTAGTGCTCCCAACGTCGTGTCGGAGATACTCTCTAACAGGGTCAATTGGCACGTTGGAAGTCTCAAAAATCGAACTACCTTCTCCCCTATTGAGTGGGTTTCCTCATACGACCATCACTATCCTCAATGCACTGTGGGCAGTTTCTGTAAATGTTGCTGACCACTGCCTGGACATTGGAATTCCACTAGTAAACGACCACCCAGTGCGTAATGTGGGAAGAACCGAAGGTATCTTAAGGTATCAAATGCCAATTTTTTGGCTTTTTCCACTTTTCCCGGGACTTACTACTTCAACACTTACAAAAATTCTATTTTCACGTGATTGTGAACTGATGATTTGTATTTGTTGATTTTTTGATGGTGATACTACATCGATGTGAGTCTCATCTGTGCTGCTCCTCGACGCTAACGCTTTTTTAGATAAATAGCCAGAGTCAGACGGAGAGGGGTCTGGTGGGTAGCGGCGCGAGTGACGTGCGGGTATGGCCCTGCTGAGTTGCTGGTGTATATTCTTTGCTGCAACGCGCATCGTCTCAGCCGCCTTTTCTAGATCTTCAGGAACACCAGAAACAATTATCATTCAACTAATCAAAAATTAACAATTATCATCAAACATCCGGGAAGCTGTAGTGTAGATCAGGCTGTTATCGATTGAGCAATCGGTTTCTTTTCAGTGAAGCTAAGGTGATTCGTGATTCTCAGACGCAAAAGTCTAAAGGATACGGTTTTGTGTCATATCCCTTGAAAGAAGTAAGTTGTGTCTGATAGATGTGGTATCCTGCCGTTTTGCCGTCTTTGAATCTCTACAAAATTCTTTAGAATGCCGAGAAGGCCATATCGTCAATGAACGGGCACTGGCTTGGCCGCCGTGCTATCCGAACCAATTGGGCTACACGAAGGCCAGCAGACGAAGCCAGAGAAAAACTTCACTTTCGAACAGGTATCGTTCACACCCTTGGACTGCAAATGATTTGATTCACTTTACTGATTTTTGTTGTCATTAAGGTTTTCAATTCAACTAAGCCGGACAACACGTCCGTTTATGTAGGAAACGTTAATCCGAACACCACCGGTGCGACTTTAATTTGAAAGAAACTCAAATCAAGTATCTTAGCCCATCGATATTGTTCCAGAAAATGATCTACGGGAGCCGTTTTCTGTGCATGGCGAAATCACTGAGGTGAGGCTCTTCAAGGCGCAAGGCTACGCATTCGTACGATACGAGCGCAAAGAATGCGCCACGAACGCCATCATGGACATGAATGGCAAGGAAATCGGAGGCAACACGATACGCTGTTCATGGGGACGAATGCAACAAGTGGTTAGTCATTAATGTCCTACACTGAACAAAAAACTTACCTTAAAAAGCCACTGGGAAGGAAGCTGAACAGCTTCAAAGTGGGCGTGGTTATCAATCGGCTGAGGGGATTGCAGCCGATTGTTAACCACGCCCACTTCGAAGCTGTTCAGCTCCCTTTCTAGCGGCTTTCCAAGGTGAGTTTTTTGTTCAGTCACACTTTTATGTTCTTGACTAGGGCTAGCGCATCGTTCCACACCATTAGTGTCGAAGGTAAAAACCCTGCTGGGACTGTTGTTTTAACTCCTGAATTCATAAATTCGAGATCAATTTTTTATGTGTTCTTTCTTACGCGTTTATGTACGGTAAAAATCTGCAACCGCTTTTAAAGTTCCTTATTTACCATTTCTGTTAATTCTTTTATCTATAATCTTTAAATGCATACATTTCTTATTACAGATT